AAATGTCGTGAAAGTCGCGTAATTATTATAACGTTGATGCTAGCCGCTGTCGGGTGAAATGTGGCTAATGGGATTATATCATATCGTACCAATACATCACGTGTCTCCTTTCCTCATAGTTAATTTTTCTACTGAAAACTACAATGCAAATTACGAAAGATTATAAATACCGAGTTATCTGAAGACTCATGGCAAGTGCTCAAATGGTTTTGTTACATATCTTATTATTATTTTTTTAAGAACGTCGAGAAACGATGTTATAACCATGTTGTAACCATACGCTCCATTTTATACAGCCAGGTATTGAATTATTACAGAACTCTCTAACTATCATAACTTCCAAAAATGTATAATATACAACTTTTCGTTCAAATATATACCTTATTAAATGAATATGCTTATATTTTCATTTAAAAAAGTACAGTTTACATAAAAATATCACTTGAACTTTGTTGTTTTGAATAAGTTCTAAACTAAAATCGGCACAGAATTCTAATGGACCATACCATCAATGATACCGGCATATGATCTCGTATTGAAAATACAGACTTTCATACAAAAATTAGAACATTCAGGGGCATTTTAATTAACTAACTAACAAACTGTATGAAGTAATGGAATAATACATATTATGTATAGTATAAACTGTGTTGTCATCAAACTGTATACTGTCAAAAACCTGTCTGCCAGTTTAAGAAATAAACTGTATCTGCGTCCATGTCGTTCACACAGTGTCATCACTAAATAGAATATTCTACATGTTTCTTTAACACTCTTACACCGTCCTCGGTATTCCGGAAGTTTACACATCACACCGGCATCTATATATAGTAACGTCCTCAAAGCTACTTTCATTACACAGTACTACATTCCTGACAACTAATCACTGTCCAAATACATTGCAACGAGTGTCTACCAAATCTCAACAGAAACAATGCAACACAGATACAATCATTGTTGACCAATACAATACACTGTCATATAAAGGTTTGCTTATTCTGACAACGGTACAAGGCATGTCTACACTCAGACATGGTTTTACTACGAATGAAATGTAAGGCTGTCCTCGAGTGTACGTCGCTCGTTTTCTGTGAAATATTGGAATCAGAAGTGTCTTTGATTTTAAAATGATTAATCAGGAAATGCTGAGATTTTTGGAATGGGCAGTGACACCTAAACAAAATGACAATGTTATAGAACAGTAAGGCTGAGCCAGAGGGTTTTGTGTGTATGGATGCGCAGCTTCCCCGTTTGCCTATCTCTACCTCCTCTCCAGTTCAAAATTCCTGGATCCGCCCCTGAACAGGATTTGATTATGAACTTCTTCATCTTGAATCTGTATTGTAACGCCGGGGTGTTCTCGAAGACCGCTAAGCTGGCAGCGCGTACTAACAGCAGGACCAGTTTGGAAGAATTGCCGACAAAACCTGTCGTAAACATGATTTTATTTCGTAATCCCCCATCTTTCTCATTTCGCGGGATTTATAATCAGCATGACTTTGGGCCTCCTGCTGTCCTTAAACAGGATGTGTGAATTTATGGCATTAGTGAGAACACTACTTTTGTCTTCTTGCTCGAATTGTGTGCCCCCCCCCCTGTTAATGAGTACCCTCATTACAGTGAGTGAGTGAGTTGGGTTTAACGCCGTTTTGAGTGAGTGAGTGATTGAGTGAGTTGGGTTTAACGCCGCTATTAACAGTATTCCAGTTTTATCGCGGTGTGTCAGTTTAATGTGGGAGGAAAGCCCCAAGTGATGCAGGTTTCAGACGTTTACCACTAAGGGTATGGTGCTGACAAGAAACATAATCGGGGCGAACCGGGATTCGAACCCACAATCATAGGTTTCTGGCGTGCCCAAAGTACGCAACTCAGCACAGCGAATCGCGGCTCCTTAGGGGACTGGACCACCCGTGCCCCCAACGCCGTTTTGAATAGTATTCCAGTTATATCACGGCGGGTCAGCTCTCCACTTCGGTGAAATCCATGAGCACGGGTAAGCTGGGCAAACCTAGAAACATAACGAACCGGGATTCGGACCCATTATTCTAGATATCTGGCGTGCCGGGGGGATCCTTGTACTGATACAGATCAGCACAGCCAATGTAAAACACTCTTTGATTTGATCTGTAGAATTAACACCTGAAGGTGAAGAGTCACTGATACACGTTTTGTGGTGGAAGGTGCCAGAGTCACTGATACACGTTTTGTGGTGGAAGGTGTCATAGTCACAGATACACGTTTTGTGGTGGAAGGTGTCAGAGTCACTGATACACGTTTTGTGGTGGAAGGTGTCAGAGTCACTGATACACGTTTTGTGGTGGAAGGTGTCAGGATTTATACACTTTGGTGAAAGACTGGAATTGGCCTCATTATTCTAGATATCTGGCGTGCCGGGGGGATCCTTGTACTGATACAGATCAGCACAGCCAATGTAAAACACTCTTTGATTTGATCTGTAGAATTAACACCTGAAGGTGAAGAGTCACTGATACACGTTTTGTGGTGGAAGGTGCCAGAGTCACTGATACACGTTTTGTGGTGGAAGGTGTCATAGTCACAGATACACGTTTTGTGGTGGAAGGTGTCAGAGTCACTGATACACGTTTTGTGGTGGAAGGTGTCAGGATTTATACACTTTGGTGAAAGACTGGAATTGGCCTCGTGGGTGAGTATCGTGCAATGCAGAGTATGGCTAGATAGAATATACAGGTGCAACCACTGCTCGTTGTGGGCTGGGCTGACTTGATATGGCACTTCGCTTGGCTGACACTCATTTCTGTACCGTCCAGCAGCACAGAACCATCAACACATCTACCTACATTGATTATGAGATAATGTACCACATCCTTGGCTCGTTTACGAAAACTGTAGAATGCCCTTTTTTCATCACGAGTCTTGACATGCTTCACAAGATGGTCATCAGACAAAATAAATGTGTGCAAAAGTACATAATACAATTTATTATGAAGAGCCTCCCATTATAACTGGTAAATATAAGCGATCTATTGTCTGACATGATTCTTCGCCAACTAAACTCGACAATTAAAATCTGTTTCTAGTGTGGATTCTCCTTTGGCAAGAAGTTCGTGGACGGTTCACCATATCTGTAGTGAAGCAGTAGTAGTTGTTTCGTATCGACTCAGGCCGACCAGATGCCTTGATGGCAAGTGGACTTTGAAGAAACCTACAACATTACTGACGCCGAAGGTTTCACCAAGGTGAGATTGCTGTGGTTGGTGTATAAGTTACATGTGTCACTAGCGGTGTGTACGAGCTAATATGACTTGCAACGCTTTATCTTTACGAGTTACAAGAACTATTATCCATATTTGTGTGTGATAATGAAATATGTACTATATACTTCAGTGTGCAGTTTCGTAGGTTGAGAAACGTGATATGTTTATTGCAGTGAACATAACCCTTGGCATTCCACTGCAGTGAACATACCACTTTGACGAAACAATTGTCTTACAAGAATTACCGTCCCGCTAATTGTCTCCCCTTTATCGTTAGTATCTGGGCCGTTCACAAACTGTTGACTTCCTACTTACGTTAGTTCCACGTTTACAAGACAAAATATCGACATAAGGTCATTTACCGAGTGAATATCGCTCCTTGCCGTTTGTTATTCTATTATTCTCGTTAGAAACTGTAAAATTATCATTTAACTCGTCAATCTAGACTGTTTCTTTCGGAAAGCTCCATGTTTGTTACTTGACCAGTGTGTATTATTTCGCTTCCAACAACGGTCTACTTTTTAAGTCGCAATTACAAACGTGCCTGTTTGTTTGGCAGAGAGAATTTATGCTTCAAGGTTTTACATTTGCATTCACATAATTAAACTTTCCGGTAGACAACGTACAGAAAAGGTATATAATAAATAGGATATTCCATTTGTCTATGTTTCTCTCATCCCGTGACGGGGAAAAGGAGATATTTCACTTTGCTCCACATGGTCGCCAATGACTTCTATCATACTTTCATCTTGGTAACTCGAAGAGCGAACACTGTGACGTGAAAAGCAAGTGACATCACATCAAACATGATAACGTCATGATATCCGCACATGTTATCGTACGTGAGAAGGCCAATACTGTCTTGAAACAAATAGTGATAACAGTAATTATTACATACTGAGAAAAGTGACGTGTTCTCTCCAGTGAACATAAAACCGGAAGTACCGCTAACGAAGTTACCCGCACGTGCTTAGATTTCTGCGTTAACAGGGATGATATTTATTGGATAACAGTTCTTCTTTTGCGTTCTGTTTGTTGTTTAAAATTGTCCATGTTTAAAATACGGGTAAATGTTCTTCAAGCATGTATATTTTATCATTATCCTTAAAGTAGATGTATAAAACGTTGATGTCTCATATGAGAAATAAACGACTCGTGGTCGTTGTTTATCGTGCAATAAAACAATACGAGGAGAATTAACCACTTGGGCTTGTGCCCCTCATGGATTATTCTTCCAGCAGTGTTTTATTGCACGATTAACAACACCCACAAAAGCGTTTATTTCTAACATAAAGCATGACATTGCGGTATTGTGTCTTATTCCTATCTCAGTCGCAGAAAATACAGTGAAACAAACCTGAAGCAGTCGAGTCGAGTGTTGCCATTCCACCATTTGTTTTCGCTCAAAAAAAAGTGATGGGGTTTATTACTGACATATATTTGAACTATTGTCTTGGCTTCAGTCAAATATGTTTTAAGATGACTCATTTTCACTTTCATCTCTTAACTTCGATGAAATGATCAATATATGTCTGAAATGTGGTCCTTATCTACTGCGAAACCTGAAGAATATTAATGTCACTTGATAAAGTGTTAAGGTGATATGATTTACTTAACTTACGATCGCTGCCAAAACACAAAAGCAGAACAATATATGCATTGCATGTACCTCATCGAAATGTATGTTTCAGGTGAAATGTTTTCAGACGATGCTACTAGCTTCACGGAGGCGCATTCACAGATGTGTTACAACAACAATCTGACGCATGTCTTCGATATCGATACGTTCACCATCTGACGATGTCTTCGATATCGATACGTTCACCATCTGACGCACGTCTTCGATATCGATACGTCCACCATCTGACGCATGTCTTCGATATCGATACGTCATCCATCTGACGCATGTCTTCGATATCGATACGTCCACCATCTGACGCATGTCTTCGATATCGATACGTTCACCATCTGACGCATGTCTTCGATATCGATACGTCCACCATCTGACGCATGTCTTCGATATCGATACGTCCACCATCTGACACATGTCTTCGATATCGATACGTTCACCATCTGACGCATGTCTTCGATATCGATACGTCATCCATCTGACGCATGTCTTCGATATCGATACGTCCACCATCTGACGCATGTCTTCGATATCGATACGTCCACCATCTGACACATGTCTTCGATATCGATACGTTCACCATCTGACGCATGTCTTCGATATCGATACGTCATCCATCTGACGCATGTCTTCGATATCTATACGTCCATCATCTGACGCACGTTTTCGATATTGATACGTTCACCATCTGATGCATTTCTTCGATATCGATACGTCATCCATCTGACGCTTGTTTTCGATATCTATACGTCCATCATCTGACGCACGTCTTCGATATCGATACGTTCACCATCGGACGCATGTCTTCGATATCGATACGTTCACCATCTGACCCATGTCTTCGATATCAATACGTCATCCATCTGACCCATGTCTTCAAAGTCGATACGTTCACCATCTGACCGATGTCTTCGACATTGATACGTTCACCATCTGACGCATGTCTTCGATATCAATATGTCATCCATCTGACGCATGTCTTCGATATCGATACGTCATCCATCTGACGAATGTCTTCGATATCAATACGTCATACATCTGCGGTATGTTTTCGATATCGATACGCCCCCCATCTGACGCATGTCTTCGATATCGATACGTCCACCATCTGACGCATGTCTTCGATATCAATACGTTCACCATCTGACGCATGTCTTCGATATCGATACGTTCACCATCTGACGCATGTCTTTCAATATCGATACGTTCACCATCCGACACATGTCTTCGATATCGATACGTCCACCATCTGACGCATGTCTTCGATATCAATACGTTCACCATCTGACGCATGTCTTCCATATCGATACGTTCACCATCTGACGCATGTCTTCGATATCGATACGTCCACCCTCTGACAAGGACATGCTGCAGTGCATTCCCAGCTATATTGGCATCAATGTATTAAACAGTAAACATTCTTGTGTTATTGTGCGTGTGATACTGAAGGGACATGTTTTGGCATATTCCATCAATGAATATATATTAACTAACATGGGTGAGTAAGTGAGTATGGTTTTACGCCGCTTTTAGAAATATTCCAGCAATATCACGGCGGGCGACACCAGATATGGGCTTCACACATTGTACCAATGTCGGGATTCGAACCCAGGTCTTCGGCGTGACGAGCGAATGCTTTAACCACTAGGCTCAACGCCGTCTTGAACATTATACCAGTTATAGCACGTCGTGTCAGCATAATGTGCCAGAAAAGGCAGAAGGGGTGCAGATGTTGGACGTTACAGGTGAAACCCACGACACTTTCAAGCTTTAATCTTTTGTGGACTCAATTTAATATATCTAATGTCAAGAGACACGAGCGGGGAATTCTCTTTGTGTAAACAAATAATCCAACCCGGAACAAAGAAATAGTTTACCGAAATCAATCCTCATCACCTTCTCTCTGAAACCTACGCAATAGATGACGTGCACATGCACTGATCTGTCCTGAGTACTGTCATTAAAGCTCTCATTCATGCATGAACACACTCTTGTTATGCATTTTGTGCTTAAGTGTTTACGATAATATCTCCAAATATGGTACGATGCGGATGAAGCCTTAAAGAGCAAAATATGTGTTTTGAGCATTATGCCACTGGTGTCCACATTTGACAACAGTGATTCATAAACACATGCTGGTGAAATAGCCGGAATCGTACAATGACTTTGCTTTTAGCAGATATGTTTTATAATTATGGAAAGAGATTTGTCACTTTTATTTGCAAACAACGGTCTTTGTTGTACAAATAAAACCCTCTATGTTGTTTCTTATCCTGTTTTCCGATTGAAGAGTGAGCTCAGAATGTTTACATTGGGACGGATGACAGGACTGGAGGCAGCGAGAAGTGTGTGGGGGTGGGAGAGTTGTTGGGTTGAGGGTGCAGTTGTGTAATTAACGGAATAGAGATGTTGATTTACTTTCCATGAACCTTAACAATAGGTATTCTCTCGTCTGTTCACAAACTGATCCATATGTCTAAAATCATAACATGCCTGGCTGAGTAACTAAAGACAAAAATGAAGCTCGACTGTTGCTCTAAGAGATTAAAACTGAGTGTTGTAAGTAAACGAAACAGTTAATAGATGTACTTATAATGATCATTCACAAGACCAATTAGTTTGTACAATAGATTCCCTTTCCTTGACAGTGCTTAATAACATTTCAGGTCAACGCAATTCTAATAATGCGTGTTTTGTGAACAGCTCTTCACTCTAGTTTCCTCCAAGCTTCTTGTGAAAGTACGGAAATTGCTTCGGATCAATTGGTTTGGATCAATATAACGGTCGCTGTCTGAGAAACTGAAAGGGACACGAATGCTGTATGTTGGTCACGGTTTCATTTGTTCATGACACGCACAGAGGCAGAATCCCGCATCAGTATTTGCCGATGGATAAGATAACGTTTTTCGCAGTTCTGGTAACGATTGGTGTTGGAGCTGCCATGACGCCTACACCAGGTAATATGCTTGTATTACTTCTTTGAGAGGCATCTAGAAGTTGGAGTACTAAGTAAAGATAAGTTATATGGATGAACAACTTCTTTATTTCAATTAAGAGCGACGTTTCGGTGTAGGTCCTAACACTTGCTTGATAACGGTGTTAGAACCTACACCGAAACGTCGCTCTTAATTGTAATAAAGAAGTTGTTCATCCATTTATCTTATCCTCGCTTGCTTGTATTACATTGGTATAAGCAAATGAAAGGCAAGTAACAAAATGAGTGAGTTGGGTTTAACACCGCTTTGAACAGTATTTCAATTATATCATGCCGTGCCAGCTTCGTGGATGTGATGCAGGTCTTACACATGTACCGTTTTTGGTGAAAGCCGCGAGCACGGGCATGGTGCTGACAAACCTAGAAACATAATCGGGGCGAAGTGGGATTTGATCCCCGAATTGTGGCGCCTTAGATGACTGCGTTTAAGCATGCACTCCAGCCTAAAATGTGACATAATATGCGTTATCAAAACAAGGGTGCCTTTCTATTGGAAAGAAACTGTCAGAATAAATGAACAAAGGTACGTTGTTTATAAAACACGGAAACTCGTGCATTTAATGTGTTTGAAATCTATACCTTATGTATCTATATGTCATTTTGTTCATAAACATGATATTCATTTGGTCAAAGATACCGATAAGTTCTCCTGAAAATATTGCTTCTCTTAGGAAGCTGTTTTAAGTTCGATATCAGGTAAAACTTGTGATTCCTAAAGTTTGGGGGTTGGGGTGATGCTGGGTTTGGGGTAAAAATCCGTCAAAATCATGTTCATGTTTAGCTTCCAACTGTCTTTCAAAATGTGCCACATTTGTGATTCATACCCAGTCTAAACTCAAGAATACATTCAATCTGAAGACGAGTGGGAACACATTAAAGTGTAGATAGTGAGTGAGTGAGTATGGTTTTAGGCCGCTTTTAGCAATATTCCAGCAATATCACGGCGGGGGATACCAGAAATGGGATTCACACATTGTACCCATGTCGGGAATCGAGCCCGGGTCTTCGGAATGACGAGCGAACGCTTTAACCACTAGGCTACCCAACCGCCCCAAAGTCTAGATAGACACAGGCATAGTGATCGTGTGCCTGGTTGTAAATTTGTGAATGAACGGAATGTCATGTTAACTTATCAGCCAATCAAATTACGTCATGGACTATCTAACATAATCTTCACAAACGCTTGAAAACGCAAACTGACATTCGAAAAGTGAAGATAATTTCATCAAAATAGTTATGAATAGTGTTCAAAAGAAGTAGGGGATATCGAAACGACAGTTGTTTTCAGTATAGAAATATTACATTGTTACGAGGTGATTTCTAAACTGTTGTTGTTGGTGGTGGTTTGTTGCTAATGTCGTACTCAGCAATATTCCATCTATATGACGGCGGTCTGTACATAATCGAGTCTGATCCAGTGATTGATATCATGAGCATCGATCAACGCAATTGGGATCGGTGACATGCATCAACCAAATCAGTGAGTCTGACTACCCGATCCCGTTAGTCGCCTCTTACGACAAGCATAGTCGCTTTTTATGTCAAGCATGTGTTGCTGAAGTCCTGTTCTACCCCGGATCTTCACGGGGGAGACAAGCATGTGTTGCTGAAGACCTGTTCTACCCCGGATCTCCACGGGTCTCACGTCAAGCATGAGTTGCTGAAGACCTGTTCTACCCCGGATCTTCACGCGGGAGACAAGCATGTGTTACTGAAGACCTGTTCTACCCCGGATCTTCACGGGGGAGACAAGCATGTGTTGCTGAAGACCTGTTCTACCCCGGATCTTCACGGGGGAGACAAGCATTTGTTGCTGAAGACCTGTTCTACCCCGGATCTTCACGGGGGAGACAAGCATGTGTTGCTGAAGACCTGTTCTACCCCGGATCTTCACGGGGGAGACAAGCATGTGTTGCTGAAGACCTGTTCCACCCCGGATCTTCACGGGTCGATTTCTGTACTGAAACGCAAAGGCTAACCCTGATATCGGAAAATGCGGGGGACAATTCACGCAAGGTATCATTGCTCTTTGATTAGCATATCTAGTAAACCTTTACCCGGTGATTACCATGATATTATCACGATGAAAACATGTCAAATGTACTTAGCGTGTTGCGCTTGTTACTCCAGTACTGATTGCCCCTGTTGTTTTAAGCCCCGGGTGTCAGTATATTTGCTTGTTTGTTGTTTAACGCCACACGCAGCAATATTCCAGCTACATGACGGTGTCTGTGAATAATCGAATCTGGACAAGACAATCCAGTGATGGAGAACAAACAGTCAATTACATTGCCAACAACAAACACTGTACAACAACCACCCCCCGTGGTGAGGGAGTGAGTGAGTTTGGTTTAACGCCGCTTTTAACAGTATTCCAGTTATATCGCGGTGTGTCAGCTTAATGTGGGAGGAAAGCCCGAAGTGATGCAGGTCTCAGACGTTTACCACGAGCACGGGCATGGTGCTGACAAACCTAGAAACATAATCGGGGCGAACCGGGATTCGAACCCACAATCATAGGTTTCTGGCGTGCCCAAGGGACGCAACTCTGCACAGCGAATCGCGGCGCCTTAGACGACTGGGCCACCCATTCCCCTCCATCCCCCGTGGGATCACTTCAAGAGGTGACGGTGGGACGGGTGATCGTCCAAATAACGATTTCTCGTTGAAGCGTGATGTGGTTCCAATTACTAAGGGATATTCATGTTACGTACATTTATCAGAATGCATTCGTGGGGGCTCTCGGGCTTCATTGGAGGACATGAAGTGACGATTTGTCACATCCTTCATCGTTATGATCCACTCTTTACCAACACATACACTACTGCCTAGAAGTTCATCCCCCTTACACGCATGGGCACCGCGTTACGCAACCCGTGTGCACCCCGTTGGTCACTCGTGTGGAACCCGTCCGCCACGCGTGTTATACCCGTGTGCAAAGCGTGACACACTCATTAGAGGGGGAACAAACTTTTGATCAAAGGAGGACCCATGTAAAGCTGAACTTGGAGGTGGTAACAAGGAGAGAAATTTCTGTTATCCTGACGAAAAATGATAATACACATGTATTTGCTAATGTCTCCTTTTTCGATGTGGGAATAACATGAGGACTGTTGTGATCAAATAGATCTGTCTTGTTTTATACGACCATTGCTTCTAAATGCGATGGTGTTAAGAGAATACATGGTCCTGGAAAATGTTATTGCCATTGAAATGCTTTAATTGTGATTTGACATTAACCGTCTGTCGTACGACTTTCAGTGATGAGGTTTGGCGGAGCATTGTCTATATTGGACCTTAATTACTTTATGATGGCTGGGACTCTTTGTCTCAGGTCCATAGCCGTGACGCTGGAAAAGAGCAGCATTTAGTTAATGAGAGTGGGTTATATCATTGAGGATACACTTGAGGGAGAGAATACTAATTACCGTAGTACAGGAAGAGACCTGTAGACGTAAGCGCGGGGTTGTGTTTTAGCTGGCCGTTCGATAATGGCCGCCAGGAGAAGTAAACAGTGAGCTTTGACTGCGTCATCTAAAATAAATAATAAGATACAGCAGTGTTATTTTCAGGGGTCTGTTGAATAAACTCCCAGCGCTACTGTCAATGTATCTTCTACTTGATCCTTTATACATCATTTTGGCATTCACAATATATAGTATTTCAACGTACAAAGGAGCACTGATCTAAAGCAATTCCGCTGGAGTGGTTGTTGCCTTTACATTACTGTATTTTCCCAGTGAGTACCCGAATGATATAGCAGAAACTTGTTCGCGTCCTGTGCTCGCCATTCGTAAGCGCATTTTTTTTTATAGTAGAAAGACGTATGGTCACATTGATCAACAAAAATTAAATACAGTTTTCGAAATGTAGGTATATTTGTGGGGAGCATCGGTAATGGTGATGAAGTTTTGATAAGTCACTTGCTTGGTAATTGTGCGATCTTCGTGTACACTATTTTGATTTGCAACACAAAGTAAATATTTCATCTGAGCATTGCTTATTTTACAGTGTGTATATGTTAAAACTCAAAATGTAAACATATTTCACTATGGAAATATATTAAACGCCTAAATATTCAGTTATTTTACAAATGGACTGAAAAATATGTCCCTCTGTATTAATATGATAACGAATTCCAAATATTTGTTTATGTTTAATATCATCACCAAGTACAGTTCTGTATTGTTTGGCTTCTTTTCTTAGCATTATTAATATATTGTGATGTGTTTAAGCCCTTTTGGTCGTCTTAATCGTTTTTAGTCAGTCTGTTAGATAAATGGACAGATTATTCAGTCAATTTGTAAAATGACTGAAATATTTAGATATTTTATAAATTGCCTGAGTGAATGATATTTTACACATTGACTGTAACATATAGAAAATAGAAAAAATAAAAAAAACATCGTCTATCGCGCATCTAAGAACTTCCCAACCAACACGGAAAGGAACAAGATTTGCTTCAGGTTCGAGTTCAGATCTCAAATCATTTATGTCTATATCCAACTCATCAAATATATGTTTCTCTATGGTACGTGCATATTACATAACTCACATTCCACCTCACTTCAAACCTGGATTGAATTATTACCCCAGGTACAAGAAATACCAAATGGGAACCTTTATCGGGTAATCTGAGTGGTGCTACAACTAAGTATACATGTAATAAATTCATTAACTGAGCAGCAAGTGAATTACGACAAATACACAAGTGTAGGGTTATACCAGAAAACGTGGATGACAACGAGGGAGTAGTAATTGTATCTTCCACTCAATCCGAAATCCGAAAATGCTTTCACTGCAGGGATACTTGTTTATTATTAAACTGTAACCATCAGGGGTATTTCCAAATAACGACATCCGATGAGCTTTCGCCGTTATTTGTCTGTTTGTTTAGGCTGAAGAAATTAATTACCATGCGCCCTTTGTCGAAATCTTCATAGATCACGGGTAACCAATCAG